AACACAAATACATGGCCTTAAACCAGGAGGCCTACATAAATGAAAATACATGAAAATAAAGGTAAACCGGGGTACAAGCATACATACCTTGCTCCCTGCTGCAGTAGATTGTTTGACCGGGAGGAGAGCAGCAGCAGCTCCGGAGTCACAGACCTTCAGTTGGTGGCTGTAGCAGCTTGAATTCTTCCAATGCAACACCCCCCATCAAACCACCATTTTGATATAAAAATGATTTATTGTTGAACCCTTTGCTTATAGACTTCTGGATCAGTTTGCTTGTGTGACTTCAGGCTGTGTTTGTTCATTCCAAATTGACAAAACCATTGAAAGCAATTATATTCACAATATCCCCTGGAAACAATACAGTATTAAAATTTTTATCTGTAAATATATATATTATGATTGCCCATTTATGTAATTCATTGTCTGACTGGTCGTCTGTTTCCCACGCAGCATGTTGGGAAATGTGGGGTGAACATGGGTCCCTTGTGAAACAGTGGTATTAGAAAGAGACAGTGGTCCTGACCTGGGATTTAGATTCTACTGTGTTCATGCGTATTGCATTTGTGGGAAAAGAAGCTGTTTTTCTTAGTGGTGAAGGAAAAATACAGTGAAGGCAGGGGACCTGATAGGAATGTTAGCAAACATGAATGGGGCGCTCAGCGGCAGACTTTATCCCTTGCCATATTTTCAAAGTCTTCTCTATATCTGCCTGCTGAGGGCCTAATCTCTCAGGTTACAGTGGCAAACAGTTTTGTATTGATCCTCACTTCTTTTTTGTTTTCAAATTTTAGCACCATTTGTATTGTCAATCAATGAAAACACTAGGATTTGTTGACACTGCATGACCATGCAATACATTATAAATGTGTATCTACAGGTTTCTGTGTGTGGGGTAAAAACAAGTCACAGGAATATCAGAGCACCAATATGGCCACTATATCAAGAACTGATTGTATTTTGGGGTGATGTAGGTTTTTACCCAACTTAAGTAATGGGCCCATTGTAACTTTAAATGTAAACCTGGATTGGCAGACACACATCTATCTTATCTTAATGCCTTCTCATTGATTTCTTTGTAAACCTTTGCTGTGTTTTTGCCCTGTCTTTGCTGTTTGTTGTCTGTGGTGGTGTTGTTTACATTGTTGTAGTGGCAGCACTGCTGAACAGTGAGTATAGGCTGGCTGTGTGGGATATAGCATGACCTTGATTTGCGCTGCTGTTTGCAGCAGAAGCCTGCTCTGCCACTCTTTGGCTGTCTTGCAGGCAGTCTGGCACACAGTGAGGCCATTGTGGTCTCGTCCTCTGTTGGCATTCTGAGACACTGACTGACTGACTGCTCTACTATCTAACCCTTGAGAGAGAGCGTATGAAAGAGGGCGACTGTCCTGCTGTCCTGCTAGTACTCACTGAGACTGAATGACTGTCGTCTACTCGGCCTCTCCACAGCAGAGACAAGCTGCAGCATACACTGCAGATTTACTAACACTGAGGCTGAAGGAGACCGACTGGCTACATCATCAGCACTGCATTATTACAGGATGGAGGCTGAGCAAGAAAGGCAAGATGATACTAATGCATCAATGCAATGTCAACACATCAGTGACATTGTTATAAAACTGGAAACTACCGTCACAAGATTTGCAGTTGTGGCCCATTGTGTTCGTCTAGTTCATGTGGTTCAGTAAAGGTCACCAAGAAAGCTTTTGCATTAGAAATCAGGTGCAGTGTACAAATACATCTGTCCAAGAAAAGGTCCAATAAAGCAAGACACCTTTGCAGGTTTGACCACCTGCACACTAAAGCATGTCAGTCTGAAAATGCTGTTGGCATGTGAGAACAACTTGCTTCCAGAGGAGAAGTCTTTTTTATTTTTTATTTTTTTTTATTTTGAGAATTTCTCCATCTGGTCTTCTTCCATTTTTAGTGAGGCAGAAAGCGAAATTGTGATTCACAGCCATCATGTAAGTAGTAGGCCTGCCTGTACATAGTACATAGTGCTTTCAGATAGTGATGATATTAACTTAGTAGCTCAGTCCATAGGGACTTGGGTTGGGAACTGGAGGGTCGCGGGTTCAAGTCCCCGTCCGGACCAAATGCGGAGCATGGACTGGTGGCTGGAGAGGTGCCAGTTCACCTCCTGGTCACTGCTGTGGTGCCCTTTATCAAGGCACTGAACCCCCTATCTTTTTTGGTTTCTTTTCTATGGCAGCCCCCTCACTCTGACATCTCTCCACTTTGTGCATGTATAGGTCCTGTTTGTGCATGTGTGTGTCTTTCGGACCTGTGTGTTAATGACAATGGAGTGAAAAAATGAATTTCCCCTCAGGGGGATTAATAAAGTATATAAAATTTAAAAAAAATTATTAGTTATAAGTGTGCACAGCAGTGGTGGACAAAGTACACAACTCTATTACCTAAGTCAAAGTATAGATGGTCCTGGTCAAGTGATTACTTGTGAGTTATTACTTGATTTAGTGAGTTCTTGCTTTTAAAAATACTTAAGTATTCAAAATATTTTTTTAAAATCTCAACGCATTCATGTATATGGTCACAATATGTTTACAGAACCAGATGACTCTAAAACAACCCACTGAGTGCACTGACTTACTTGTAAAACCTGTAGACTGAATAGCTTGTTGAATATGCTGCCAAGCCTATAGAAATGGACAAGCACAAACAACTTTGTTTAAAATATCTATTCAGGGGCCACAAACTAATAACTGTCAAATACTCCCATAAAGCAGTCCTGCTTAGTGATTTAAATTAGTGCCTACAATGGTTCAATTAAACCAGAGACAATAAAAACATAGCTACGGCGGGATAAACAGTAAAATGGCAAAATCTTGATACAGTCTTGTGGAAACATTGGTCATATCACCCAACACTAGCATCTAAGTAAGTAGACTATATCACAGTTACAGTATAACAGACATTTTATTTTTGCAGCTACAGTCAGGTCCATAATTATTTGGACAGTGATACAGTTGTCGTCATTTTGGCTCTGTACACCACCACAATGGTTTTTAAATGAAACAATGAATACCTGCTTAAAGTGCAGACTCTCAGCTTTCATTTAAGGCTTTTTTCAAAAATGTAGTATGAACCGTGTAGGAATTACAACCATTTCTTCACACAGTCCCCCGACTTTAAGGGCTCATAAGTATTTGGACAAACTAACATAATCATCAATTAAACAGTCAGTTTTAATACTTGGTTGCAAATCCTTTACAGTCAATGACTGCCTGAAGTGTTGGACACATAGGCATCATCAGATGCTGGGTTTCTTCCCTGGTGATGCTCTGCCAGCCCTTTACTGTAGCCGTCTGCACTTCCTGCTTGTGTTTTGGGTGTTTTGCCCTCAGTTTTGGCTTCAGCAAGAGAAACGCATGCTCAATTGGATTCAGGTCAGATGATATGACTTGGCCGTTGCAGAACATTCCACTTCTTTGCCTTAAAAATGTCTTTGGTTGCTTTTGCAGTATGCTTCAGGTCATTGTCCATCTGCACTGTGAAGCATCGTCCAATGAGTTTTGAAGCATTTGGTTGAATCTGAGCAGATAATGGTGCCCCAAACACTTAGCTTTCATCCTGCTGTTCTTCTCAGCAGTCACATCATCAATAAATACAAGAGAACCAGTTCCACTGGCAGCCATACATGGCCATGACATAACAGTACCTCCACCATGCTTCACTGATGAGGTGGTGTGCTTTGGATCATGAGCAGTTCCTTCCCTTCTTCCTTCTCTTGTCTTCCCATCATTCTGGTAGTTGATTTTTGTTTTATCTGTCCATAGTATGCTGTTCCACAACTGTACAGACCTTTTAGATGGTTTTTGACAAACTCTAATCTGGCCTTCCATTTTTAAGGCTATCCAATGGTTTGCATCTTGTGATAAACCCTCTGTATTTATTCTAGTGAAGTCTTGTCTTGCTTACAAGAGCAGCAGGATGAAAGCTGAAGTGTTTGGGGCACCATTATCTGCTCAGATTCAATTAAATGCTTCAAAACTCATTGGATGATGCTTCACAGTGCAGATGGACATTGACCTGAAGCATATTGCAAAAGCAACCAAAGACATTTTTAAGGCAAAGAAGTGGAATGTTCTGCAATGGCCAAGTCATATCATCTGACCTGAATCCAACTGAGCATGCGTTTCTCTTGCTGAAGCCAAAACTGAGGGCAAAACACCCAAAACACAAGCAGGAAGTGCAGACGGCTGCAGTAAAGGGCTGGCAGAGCATCACCAGGGAAGATACCCAGCATCTGATGATGCCTATGTGTCCAACACTTCAGGCAGTCATTGACTGTAAAGGATTTGCAACCAAGTATTAAAACTGACTGTTTAATTGATGATTATGTTAGTTTGTCCAAATACTTATGAGCCCTTAAAGTCGGGGGACTGTGTGAAGAAATGGTTGTAATTCCTACACGGTTCATACTACATTTTTGAAAAAAGCCTTAAATGAAAGCTGAGAGTCTGCACTTTAAGCAGGTATTCATTGTTTCATTTAAAACCCATTGTGGTGGTGTACAGAGCCAAAATGACGACAACTGTATCATTGTCCAAATAATTATGGACCTGACTGTATGTATTTTGAGGCTTCTGAGTCTGACACCTTCAGACTGGCCCTTTGATAATGTTTGGATTTCAGTCAAACTTTTCAGATGGCAGGGTGCTAAACTATTTAAAGACCAGACCAAGCTGTTTGACTGGTTAGCCCAGGCCCTACATCTAAAATTCTCCACCCAGTTTAACTGTCCGTGAACGAGACGCTGCTGCTTCTCATTTCTTCCATTCATGTTCATTCTTGAATCTCCCTCTCAGTTTAATTCATCTGAAATGAATTGCTGTCCCAGTGCACAACTTAACTCTGACACAGGACTCTTCCGTCCTGTGTAGGTTTGGGGTTATAATTGATATACATAGTGTCTCCGTTTTAATAAATACAGCTATTAAAAACAGCTCTGGTTCTTATTTCTAGCATTATCACAATAACAGACCTCAGACAGGCCCGTTAAGTCTGTGGTGCCTTATACGTCACACTGTCAGTGAGTGAGTCTTAAGGACTAAAGGAGTATGGTTCAAGTTAAACACTACAACAGTGTATGGGTTAAATAAAGTTTGACTATATAATTGAATATTGGGACTAATCATAGAAATAAAAAAAAATTTAAAAAAAAAACAAAACAAAACTTTTTTTTTCTTTTTCATTACTGAAACTGTCAATTAGTGGCTGTGAATAACAAAATTGTCATTTGTGGTGGTTCATTGTTTGTTGTGAGAAAACATTTATTCAATGGGATCTAAGTGTGTATGTATGGGGGCATTTGACATAATGTAACAGGGATAACATTGATGGGGCATAAAAAAGCACTTGGCTTTTTAACAGCATGGAGACGTTTGACAATGTGAATACTTCATGTCATTTTTTAATATTTGATAATTTAATCACTTCTCTATCATTGTGTCTGCAGGCTTTCAAAGAGATGCTGTACGCTGCTCAGGACCAGGCCCCATCTATTGAAGGTATTCCACATGCACACACATCAATAAGGTCTACCACTCTAGGGTTGCAAAGGGTTGGAAATTCTCCAAGGGAAGTTAAAGGGGAACTTATTTTCACCTAGCCCAGCACTGGTACCTTGGAGAACGGTCCCTCGCTGCGGGGAGAGGGGAGAGGGCTTCCCCGGAGGTCGGCCTCTTTACCCGGTCCCTCTCCTCCACACTTAGACTTATTTTCATTGTGCCGATGGTGGCTTGGAAAACCCCCCCAACTGTGTCACACGGGCAGAAGGGAAGGCGGCCGGAGCTCAGCCGGTCCCCTTCTCCACACTTTGACTTATTTTATCCTACTTGGTTCTATTGCTCCCTCTCTGGGAGCCTGGGCTCTCCCTCACCGCGCAGCAGCCCACCGCATCCATCCATCCATCCACCCCTCCCTCCCACGTGGCCCGCACATATACCCCCGAGGCTCGGCTCTCTCTCACCTCACAGCGGCCCTCCACATCCCTCCCTCGCCGCTCCGCACATATACTCCCATGCCTCGGCGCCTCTCCTTGACCAACTAACCTAAATACTATAAACACACTACTAACTGTAAACCTACACTAAAATACACTACGCTAACAATACAATTCGACAAATTACTAGCTATTCTCTCTGCTCTACTACTCTCTCTGCTCTGATCCAACCTACTCGCTATCAGTTTGATAACTGCGGACAGAATGGTTTTATACTAAGGGGAGGAGGAGTACAGGGAGGAGGGCAGGCTTTAGCGTGGACTGTTAGTGACGTCATTCGCCCCGAAAAAGAATCATTCGCCTCCAATGTAGTGTAATGTAAATTCAAATGTAGTAACCGGGTTTCAAGCTGTAGAGGGCACTCCATAGCACATTTTTAAAATAAAATGTAGATTTTCAACAGTTTGCACTAAACTGTCAAGATTTTGAGCAGGATCAGTCAGTAACACTACTATACAACCAGAAACAATGATTATCAGCTGAAAATAAATGGTTTTAGGGTTTAGTTACTCTTTAAGGGTTGGGAATTTGGGAATTTTTTCACACCTTCAATATAAAAATCGTACCTTATTAATAGTTAACTGATTAGGAAGGAGGATATACACAAAAAGCAATACTTGATCTTATGGCACGTTTTGGTCGATATAATGCCCATTTAATTAAATTGTAACCATGCACTGCCCTTAGCAGCACACTCTTCCATCATATGTACAAATCATTTATCAGCATCCCATTAGATAGAAATTCAGTGAAAAGACAACCTTCTGCATGCACAATTTAAAATAACATTTCCCCATCTGTTGACTTGCTAATTAACTCACCCACCACATGGCTCATTTCACATTGTATGTATTTAGAATAGGGATGTACCGAAATGAAAATTTGTGGCTGAAGCCGAATAAAATTAAACGCTTGGCCGAATACCGAGTACCGAATAGCGAATACCGTTGTTTAGTTTTTCATTGGCCCAAGTTTAAATCCATTTCTATAAGCCTTGTTTAATTACTGTTATTTTTTTGTCAATATAATTTTTACAGTGTTGTCTATGAGAAATAATTAACTGCAATTCAAATGCATTTCGCATAAATAAAATAAAAATCAACCAGCCACCCTCCTCCCCTGACAAGTAAAGAACAGTCCCTTCATAAGTAAAGAACAGTCCCTAAAGTGCAGTGAGGTTTGTGGAGCGTTACCTGCCACAAAGAGAGAAATGTGAACAGTTTCTCCTGACACGTCACATACCTGTGTGCCGCCATGGCTCGGCTGTCCAGGTACTACTGGGCAGTCATGATGCCAAGAAGAGGACATTATTGGAGCCAGACTTCTCCGTCGCCGGTAAGCTTTATCTTGCACCGCAGAGCACTATGGCCGCCGTATTTAACAGGAATACATTCCTGTCTGTGTCTGTGACCCCCGTTCAACCCATAACCGGCGGGATTTGCCTTTTGTTTCTGCTGCTGGTTGAAATCTGTACTGGCACAGCATGCTGAATGATTTATTTTGCTCGCACAAAACTATTTTTAGTAAGAGTAAAATATCGCCACACTGCCGACATTTTACTCCAGCCAGGCTGGCTGGTAAGTGAATTTTTTTACCAGCCAGGCTGGCTGGTAAGTGAATTTTTTTACCAGCCAGGCAGATATTTTACCAGCCAACCAAATAAAAATTGCTTTTAAGTGTTGTAATTTGCTATCAGTATTATTTAGCATGTCATGTGGGTCTTGTATGCGATTCTCAATCAATATTTTTATAGTGTGCACTAATATTAGTAATAATGTATGCTAAAATATGAATAACTGTTTCAACAGTTAATATTTGGGTTAATAAATTCTGTAGTATTCTTACTACAGTGCAAAAAGAATCTTTGATTAAGGAATTTTACATGAATCACTGACTTCAGTCCCCTTTGGACAGTTGAGACATAAGATTTTAGCTCAACCAGACTGCAACAGCAGGGCCTGCCCTATATAAACATGAATGTCTGACCAGTGGTGGACAAAGTATTCAACGACATGACTTGAGTGAAAGTAAAGATACTCTTGGTCAAATATTACTCCAATACAAGTGAAAGTTGTTCAGTCATTTTTTTTACTTAAGTGAAACTGCACCAACTGATTAACATACAAGTAAAGAACAGTCCCTTCATAAGTAAAGAACAGTCCCTAAAGTGCGTTGAGGTTTGTGCATGGTTACCTGCCACAAAGAGAGAAATGTGAATGGCTCGTTTCTCCTCTGACACAACACATACCTGTGTGCTCGGCTGTTCAGGTACGTTTGGGCAGCGATCGCAGCGCACCGAAATTCTCGCGTGAGCCGTAGCACTTCCATTCACATCAGACGCGCATTTCTCCACACCGGTCGACAAGCTGTTCTGCTCCCAGCTGTTGTCTCCGTCACATTTGGGGCTGTTTTTCCATCATGGGTAACTGCCCGGCTTGACACACTCGCTTGCGGCTCGTGCAGAAAATAGACCAGATGCCGAAACGATCACTGCAGGGCAGCTCCGTGGCCGGTGTGGATGACACAATCGGTTAACATGGGTGCTGAAAGGAAACTGGCTTCGCTTCGAGGCTATTCACAGCGCTTCCGCGGGCGGTGTGGCCCTGGCGTTACGTGACCAGAGATCGTTTCTGCCTGAAATACACATTACTCTGCCAAGAAACCAACTGATACCAGCACCGTTCTACAGTAACAAAAAATGCATTTTTCCCTGGTAAAAATATAACTCGCCAGAGTGGCCAATGGTCTTAAAAATTTACCAGCCAGAGATAAAATCTACCCGTAATTGGCGAGTGGCGAGTGTTAGTTTTGGATCCTGTATGTATAATTCGACAAATGAATGCATTAATTTGGCAAATTAATGGACTACGTCTACTTATGATATGGTAAAAGGTTTGTTTCTATCTCCATATGACATGGTGGTTTTGCACATTCAGTCAAGTAAATCTTATTTACCACCATTTCTTAACGCGTGTAAGTGGAGCTGTCATTTTAAAATCTGATTCCGTTACTTCCAAATCAATCCACTATCAAAATCAGCTGGCAGAGCCATGAAACTTGCTCAGCATAGTTAATGCGTCACAAACAGACGTTTGCCCTGGCTTTGGTTAAGCATATTTAAAGTTTCTTTAATATTGTTCAAATGTGAAGTGATGGGTGAATCCTTCCTAGTTGTGCTTCACTTGCTGAAATGAAGGTCTGACAGCAGAGCTTTGCCATTCAGCTTAGGTTCATTAGCTGTGACGTTCAGAGACAACAGGGAAGATGAGTAACTACCAACGTGAATGCGATAAAAACTCAAAGTCATTAATATGACAGCTTTATTGAATGGTCTATAAAAATGATTTCACTGACTTTGGAGTGAAAGTGTGTTTTAGCTACACAGCAGCACAAAAGAGCACCATTCCTCTACATCAAACTCTGAGGTCTATTTACAGAATGTGCTGTATCCAAAAACACACCGTTTAGGGCATAGAGGAAGCTCCTCTTTTGTGGAAGTGGATTAAGTTGTAATTATGTCTTTGCAGTACTCTCGAGGCAACAATAATACCTCATGGTATGAGCGTGATAATGCACTCTGTGGAGTTCTGTTGCAGAAAACAATGGACTTGGTAGAGAAAAGGCCTCTCTTTACTATCAAGATTGCACGTGCCGTCCTCTACCTCCAGCACCTCAATTACTTTTTATATGGGGCTACCTCATCCTGCATTATTGCTTAATTATGTGTCTTTGTAAAAAATATGCTAACAACAGCCACAGTATGACCAAAATTTAAGGCCTCAAAGAGTCTCAAAATGTCTTAAAACCAGTTATCAGCGGCGTTATTTTTTCATCATGTAATGACAGGCCTCTTTGTGCCCCTGAACTGCACACTCTTAAGGCATTACAAAACAGCGTGACCAGCACAATTTGTGTTTTCCGGGTATCTTTCCTTTCATCTTATTTTGACAAACACTGGCAAAAGAGTTTCACCACTATAGAAGCCTGTTTTCAGTCAGAAATAATGACGTAAGTGAACTTAAACCTTAGAGTAAATCCCCAACGGCCACAAAACAATGTAATTTGTGAAGTTTTACCAGAGCATCAAAAAGACACAAGCCTACCCCTTATGCCAAACCCAAACCCCTGCATATTGCTCTGATACAGGTCGCTTGCACTGCATTTAGCTTCACTTGTAGATCTGCCAGCTATGAGCTACCTATCGATCTGATGGCATGTGTTTTGCTGTGTGTGTTATTAGTTTCATGACAGGGTCATCAGACTCTCGGACCCACTCGACACACAAAGGGTTTACACTGGTATCATTGACATTTCATTCCATTAAAGTTACTTTCCTTATTTTTTTAAAGATTATTTTAATGGGCTGTTTGCCTTTAATGGACAGGACAGTATGTGAAATGGGGAGAGAGGGTGGGGAGAGACACGCAGCAAAGGGCCGCAGGTCGGAATCGAACCCACAACCACTGCAGCAAGGCATCGCCTCCACACATGGGGCACCGGCACCAT